TAAATATTCTGCAGGTACAAGTAGAATTGGTATAATCCACTTGGTGCAGGTATATGCCGTCGTTTATGAGAGCCATATCATCAGTATACAACTCTGTGTTCATCCGACGATTACGGCCATAGTCCTTGGCAATTAACTTAGCGGCATAAGGAGTGAAGTTTCCTAATATCGGCATAACTGGTTCCGGTGCGTGGTACTTATGAATCCGACAACTTTCGACGATGACTTCAACACTACGACGCTTCTCTGTGCGTGCACACCATTTATACGTCTTGTACATGCATACGTGTAGGGGATCTCTTCTGTGGAGATATCGTTTTAGGTGACTGTGAGAGCTTTCAATTCTATTGTTGGTACTATTAAACAGCAACAGAGTATTCGGCATATATGCCGCAGCCCACGTCTCCTTCTTAGGCACCCAGTATTGCCTGACATAATTCCACACCCCCCGATCAACCATCCTAATGACACTAAGGTAGTGATGAAATCTAAACGGTTAGAAATCAATGCATTTACCTTTCAGGTGTCGCAGCTTTAACAAGACGATATAAAAACCAGCGTACAAAAGGATTTCGAGTCTAAATGCATCAAGTATTAATTACATTCACCTCACCTTCCTGCTGAAAGCCCGGCATACATGCAATGCACAGATGACGATTTTCGGCTGAATTTGACTATTACGCACGGCGGATATCTCACAGTTGGCCGAATCCATTACGAAAGTTTCTGTAATGGACGTATCCTGCATTATTCTTTGGAATTGTTCCAATATCCAAGCTACATCACATGACCTCTCTCGTCTCGTCCATGCCAAAAAACAGGCCTTCCATGACCCATATTGCCTGTTACCACCAAGTGAAACAGAGAATATCTGATTAAGATTTATCAACCGTTTCACGTATAACCTACCCATCCTTATTGGTATTGTATGTTGAGTCAATACACACCACCTCTCCATATTTCCGATATAACTGAACCTGTGATTCCAGGGCGAAGCAAATTCTGCTGGTTATCCCTGTATTCGAATCCACGTATTCAACCACCTGACCGCTTTGCCTTATTATGCGCATAACATCTGATCTCAAAGGCATGGCTTCCAAAATAACTTTAAACTACTTCAATTACCTGGTCTCACATCCTTACGTAAATTATACACATCTGTGCTCGTCAAAATTTTTATTAAAATTCTCTTCAGCATATTCCAAAACATCAGCAACCTCAGATGTAGTCTTCACAACTGGTGCAATATTCTCCTTTTCATCCCCGGACAGGCGTCTAAAATATGGATCACCTATCATAAGACTTTTTTCACATCTGTGATTGTGAACTGTTTTCGTGGAAGAAATGATAAACTCGTCCTCCTTGTAGCGTATACGAAAGCCAGATTGGCAACCGGTGTATTTTGCACTGCAGAAATAAATAATAGAATTCTTACGGTTTGACGCGTAAACCTGAACCTCCGGTTTTTCGCTTCATGCCATATGTACAACGAAAGACTACTAATTTGTAGTTAAACTCCTGACATTCATGGTCCCGTATGCACTCTGTCATACATATATATTACTGATTCCAGCTGACTTAGAGCATCTTCTACTTGAACCCAACTGGTATACCAGTGACTAAACATAATTCCGTCGAAAAGTTTTTTGATATCCACTGATATAGGAAGGGCAGGTTGGTCGCCATTCTCTTCAAGTGCCAATGCGTTCATTCGGTACCACTGTAAATGAAAACCAGGATCACTCAAACTAAAGAATTCTTCCATTAATTTCGTATGCGCTTCTTAGTAGGAGCCCACGTAAGATAGCCCACCAGAGGGTAAAGACTCAAGTGCTCTCCCATTTCTTTTCACTGTGGGTTTGCTGTCCCTGGAACTCCTTACCTGCAGATGTGGCTACTGCACCGTCCATGGCCAGCTTTAAGCGAAGGCTGGACAACAATTAAGACACACAAAGACGGAGTACAAATAGCCTATCTCATCAGAACTCACACACTATTAATGGGCATACACCTAATCTCATCCTTTATTTCTTCATATCCTCCACTGTCTTACTCTCCTGACAATTCCAGCTAATTTTTCCCCTACACTGTCATTATTATTACCGATATATATGTACCATGCATATATATCAACTTCAAACTTCATTAGCTGTCTGTTTCTACGTTCTCTTGCTTTCTTTTTTTCTAAACCCACATAACCTATACTAATTATACCTGCTATTGTCATCCCATTTTTTGACCACACCGGACGAATAACAGGTGAAAAAATCAACTTCACTAACAGTAGCAGCACAGTCTTAATATATTGCACACTACAAATTACACATAGATAGCCCCAGCTTCACTCTTTTTGAAGTCAACCAAAGCTACGACAGTCGAGTAAGTGGATGAACTGCGCAGAAGTATACTGAAGACGAGGAACCTCTACTTTACAACGAAGCAGTGATCACAAAGAAATCAAATTGGTTTACGCTGGCTCGTAAGAACGAATGAAATTATCTCGCATGCTCGAGGTCATTGGAAGAGTTAGACACGTGAAGGTCACTTTCGTTCATGCAAGCCTGCCATGCTGGATTGCTGCTTTCTAACCATCTGTTTACATATTGGCTTCTACATTAAACCTGCAGTTATTCACAACTTTTGTTGGCAAGAGTTAACAATAGATGCCAAAGTCAGATGACCTTGAAACAGCCAACCAGATTCTTCTAGGTGAAAAGTGGTACTTAATTTACAAGGAAGTGTATCCACGATATATATGTAATAAAAATGAATCACAGAGGGTATATATCTCTCATTTGCCGCAAAAATCGGTCTCAGATTCTCATGGAAGTAGTTAAAGACATACCAAACCAACGCACTCTCTATTTCTCCAGCTGTAGCAGATACAGGTTGCATATACTCAACATATTACTAGGGGAGAGCTTTGATTTCGAGAAAAAGGTGTCTAAAATTTAGCCCCCTTGTTTAAACTGGAGACAATCTTATGGGGCAAGACTGCAGCTGCATCTAAAGTACTTTACTATGTTTGTAGGCGAATTGTTTGGGATCATTAAAGGCTTTAGGTCAAGGTTCGAGATTAAGTAAGAGTAACTTTCCCATAGGTTTTAGAAAAGATGGGGTAACAGCAGTAGGTCTAAATTTAATACATGTTTCAGTAGATGACTTAGATATAGGTACAGTTTTAATGTCCTTCCAAACGGCTGGCACGACACTTCAAATGAACAGTGGATACTTTTGTAATACTCGCTGTAATTAGATGCATAAAAGCGTGAGTTATTTAATACCCATAAGGTAGATATTCAAATACTGTATTTGCTGATTATAAAAATGATGGATACTAGGTAATATCAAATGATTCAACGGCATATTGGAAATAAATAAAAAATTGTTTTCCTAAGTCATTGTCAGGTAAACAGTCTATTTGATGTCACTGCATATTAACAGATTAATGAAGTAGCTATCAACCCTAATTTACCACATTTAGTTGTACTACAGTCTTGGAGTTTAGCACTATACAGACTTACAGCTGGCTAGATAAGGCGACTTTAGCGTATCGAAAAGTACAGAATTATCATTCAGCTTGCTAAATCCTACTTTGTTTTTACAGAGTGCTATTGTATAGAAACGGATACAAAATCCTACGAATGACTAAAGTAACAGTCTCAGCATACTACAGTATGTCTCTATCCCACTAACTAAGCTTGACATACTTAGTTCAACTTCACACGTGAAAATAGCCCATAGTAACGCGAAATATTGAAGAAGTCCGAGAGAAGCAGAAATTAAGAGTATATTAAATATTTCATTAATTTACAAATGAAAATTCTGATGAAGGCTATTAGCGTTAGTCTGACCCATTGATATTTCCGTTGACTTCATATTCGACAACTTCCACATACCTAAAAAATAAAGCACAACATGAAGTTATGAAAGATAATTGTATATATTAGTATACAATATGCATACACTGATTCTATTAAAACTAAGTAAAATGCAAAGAAAAGCATTTGTAGTCCACAGCTGGTTCTTATATTGACACCGTATCCAGTATTAAAGGATTATACGCAAACTTCAAGACAATCTCTGAAACATCCATATTGTTAAGGTGTCAAAAATATTGCACCATTAAGTATAGAGTGTCAGTGGGAATGGTATAACAGACAGTAGATTGATGATAACAGAGCTGACTAGATTAAGTTCTCATAAGCAAAACAATCAATGTGTATAATAATACTATGCACTGAATTAATGCACTAAGTGAAACAATGAGGAAAATTGAACGAGTAATTGCCTTCTTCACTGCACTGCACTTGCAACAATCATGAGAACCACCTTCATTTGTTAGCCTAGCAGGCAGCTAAGCACAATATTGATAAAGTGGAGATACTTTTCATACACTGAATCCACATAACCCATATTGCACTGCGCCAATCAGTGCAAATATCAATTAAACCTAGAAATAACCTTTCAACTTACGATAATTCCTGATCAAACGCACATACGGTGAAAGACACATTTACATGATAAATTTTGTTCACACAGAAGGTTCTGTTAACATTTGTAGGTGACTTCCATGTAGTGATAGCATTCTTTTGTCAAACAGTACCGTTTTTCATACAAAAATATGCTGCATTGATATCCTGAGACGTGAAAACTTCATTGAATGATAGTATGCCGAAAGCTGCAGCTTCTACATAAAATGGACTGTTTATGTAGATGACGTTACCCTTCAACTATCCCATCTTGCTCCTTATAGTGGTATTTTGACACAGTCCACCTGAAACACCAATCATTGCAACCAATATGCTAAGAGTGTGTCGCAGTCAGACCACATGACGCGGACACCAACTATACTAGTGAAGAAATGAGAATTTCTATCAATCCAGAAAACATATAACACAATTTTATTAAAATTTATAAACAAAAAAATTTACCAAGCAGAATTTCAACCAACATGCTAGATAAATCCAGCCGTGAAAAAGATATTGGATTAGTCGTCATTTTGAAGTAGCTCGCTACTGTAGTCTTTGTTGTTTGGTTTGTGGATTGCTTACATTATGTATACATCATTATCTAGACTTTAGGGGATAATCAGGATTCATCTAGAAACAATTCTGAAACTGCGGGTAACGTAGAAAAAATGGACTGTGACCAAGATGATCAGAGTATGCTCTTGGCAATGGTAATAAATATACCAACACCTCCTGGACCACAATGTTACTGGTTAGTTTGCCATTTGTACCATTGTCTACATTTTAGTATGATGCCACGTGATTATAGCAGACCGGATTTTCAGTGTAGCGTCTGTTATAAGTGGTTTCACCTGGAATGTATTGCTTTCAACATAGGGTATGTTCATCCATGTGATTTTATTTTCTATTCTCCAATAGGAAAGCTTTACCATTTCTTACTGCATACCACTTCATGTGTAAAAGGTGCAATGCTATTGGAGAGGAGGTTTTTTCTAGGAAGCAGGCTAATTTTACCGTTATGTGTCAAACGGCTTTGGCAAATTTAATGCTGAGGCATGGTGGTCGTTTATACTTTATGGAAACTAAGGAACTCATACCATTTCTTGAGGAATGTTGGGAAGAACTCACAACACAGCCAAGGAAGTCCAATAATTCCTGGTATCCGAACATCCATAAAACTTTGGTTTGTTATTTCTGTTAATCTATGGTCTTAGACTAGTAGTGATGTTTTCAAAACTGTACAAACGCCAGACGATCTTTACGTGTGCTTATCAAATACGGTAAGGATCTAACTCGCATGCTAATCTCTTTGAACTATTAACTGTGCAATCACTACTCAATTTCCAAAAAATCAAGTGGGGAACGAAAAACTTAGCTGTCTAGGTATATTCAAATGATAGCAGTGAAATTTATAAAGTTATGGATAAAATGCGGCGATTAACCTTATTTGCCTAGATTTTTAAATGTGGTCTGACAAATTACAAAACAGTGACTTTGGAGACCAATGCAAAGTATCCATGTTCGAATAAGGCTACTCGTTTTCTCCTTTGATCAGTAATGTTATCATTTGCCGCTGGAACACCACGGATGAGTAATAGGGGAAGGTGGTTAGCGTAAGGCTGGTGGCAAAAGTAGGGATGCTAGCACGGGAGACATTTCAGGCTGGAAGCTGTTTTTCATGTGAAGTCTGGTGGTGCAACTGGCTACCTAATGTTGACCATTGGGCATGATTGAAATCATTAAGCTTTTTTTAGTGGTAACTGATGTAGCCATTTTTTATCTTGGTTTCCGTGCTATACTTATGTAACGAATTGAGACGGATATACTTGCGTACACTATCTGACGTATACCAGAATTAAATTTGCTTGTTTAGTATGCTGAAGGAAGTTTGACGTGCCTGAAGTTCAATCGCTTCACGTATCCTAATATTTTTCTTTGAGAAGAGTCCAGTGTAAGGTTCCTGATTATTTCTTAGGTTTGGTAGTTTTTCCAAAAATAAACGGGGTTTTAACGCTCACTGGCGTATTGCATTTACTTCTGTAGGACCTCACAAAAATTGGTCCGAGTTATGACCGATTTCGTGCTCTTACAAGCCAGTTGCGGACGAATATTACTAAACTGGGTGTCCCGTCCGCAAACATTCCCACCAATGTGTCGCAAAATCAGTCTTCTTTGTCGGGGGCTAGCTTTGATGCTGTAGATCAGTTCCTGCATCATTCGTCAACTGGCAACCAGTTTCCTTTCAGTGGTGAAACTGATGTTGTGGATCAACCTACTTGGCGTAAACGCAGATCTCCAGGTAGTGGTTTATTCGGTGGAATGGGCACTTTTTCTGTAACATCTTTTATGCCTGGCGCATCTTTGGAAGGTAAAATTTCTATTACTGAAATTTCAACGTTCCCTGGTATGAGAGCTTCTGCGTCATCCAATGAAGTAAATAATGCTTCTCCAAGTGGCTTGGTGCGTTCAACCCGCCGAGCTACTTCAGCATCTGTTCTTGGTGGGACTACCGCATTGAGTGGAGCTGCAGTTTCTGATGAAGGACGTGTAAAATTAAATGCTTTGGGGTTCCCAATAGATCATGCGCTAAATAGAGAGGGATATCGGTAAGTTTCTTATTTTGACTGTACCCTTGTACACCTAAGCTTTTAAACATTCACACGGGCTCCATTCGTTCATTTTCATATACCTATTACTTAAAACTTTCATTATTCTACGGTAATGTTGCTAACTCATCAAATGTAAGTGTTTGGTAGCTTTGGTTCTTTTTCCAGTATGAATTCACACTTATTGTGGTCATGTGGTTGCACCAGCTGCCAGTTGGTGTAGCAGAAACAACTTTTTCTGTAAGTGATCCGTGCACTTAGCTACCACTGTATGTAGGGTTTCAGTTTGGTCTTCTCTTCAGCCTTATTCAAGCAGTTACTTGACCGGAATGGAGGAAATGTGGTGAAACAGAGTACTGATTTCAGCTGTCTGTTTTCCCATCAGTATTGTGATAGAAAGTCTAAAAAATATGCGGCGGATAACTGACAGCATTGTGTCAGCGACCAGTAGAATTATGGTTTAACATTGATGAATGCGCTAACCCTACCCGACGTATTCTCACAAATTAACCTGATTTTCTTAATTCTTATTTGAGCTTTCGTTACGTATTTTTCATTTATAAACATTTTGACTTAGATTTTTGATCCTGTAAATATTAGGACTCGCTTGACAAAAGCGCATGTAATATAATAGACCACAATCCCAATTGTAATATGCCTAAGTCAACTTTAAAGACTATATGAACTGTGGACGTTTGAACCAAGTTCAGAAGTGATGGTTTGGATGGATTTGGGCGTTGGGTAAATTGTATTCGGTGTTATTAAAAACTGTTCCCATTAATGAGGGAAATGTGACAATTAAAATTTAAAACTACATATCAAAAGATAATCCGGTATCGCTTAGTTTCTACTTTCTAAGTTTACCAGTTCTTGTTTTCTACCTGTTCTTCTTCATTACTCCCCACCGCTAAATGTTTCTTGAGCTACTTAAGAACGACTTTGTTACACTGCGAATGTCATGAAAAGTTGTCAGTAGGGCGAGTGGGTTACTGCTAAACCAACTTTGTAATACTCTTGTAGACAGACACTCGAACTCATTCAGGGAATTAGTGGGTGTCATCCTGTCGGACTCTGAGCATCTTCTCAATGCACAACTCCCTCCTTACATTTCATCAGGTAGGACTAGAAGCAACTATGGGAGGCTTCATGCCTTATTTGGCACATATTTTATGTGATGAGGGAAGTGTTAGGCCATGACACTATCAACTTACTGCGAGACACTGAGCAAACTATCCTTTTTATTCTTTCTTTCATCAATATATTGTTGTGATGATTATTCCCACTATAAATTTAAATCCGTACTATCAGTGGCCAGTGATATCAATATAAGTGTCCTGTCAATTATTTTCCCATGTACCTACTATATAGTGCAGGGAGAAAATTAGATGCAATATTGCGTTACAGGTCAAAAACTTCACATTGTATAAGGTGTACTTTTTGGAATAAAGTCAATATGATTGTTATTAAAGCCATGGTGACTCACTTCGATGTGAGCCACCTTTGGTGTGACATCAGTTGGCTAATTATAGGTTGAGTGAGCAACTTTCCTATTGGATTTAAATGTCTAGTCTTCTCAGGTTGGAAATCTATCGCCACTTTTCGTCTTAGGTTACTGCTTAGTTGTATTGGGACGTCGATGACTTTGGTACTTGTTCTAAATGTCTTCATATCACAATTTTCATGTCGATTTGTCGGACTTGTTATTGGTTTGAAAAGACAGAGATATCGTCCATTACGTGGCACTAGTCTAGGGCATATTTTTTATTAAATTGGCATCAGTTTGTGTGTTCAGTCACTCAAGATAGTCTCAGAAAGATCTGGCGATTCTGACTTGAGAAATAGTATGTAGTTTAAAATGATATCATTTCTCAAAATGTTGTTCATTACTTGTTTCTTTTACTGTCAGTAATTATAAAAAGTGGTAAATGCACTTGATGAGAATGACTATGTTTGTGATGTCACCGTAGATGTTATTTTCTTGTTTTTATGTTTTGTATATTTGCGACTCACTTTGTCAGTCTTGTGTTTAAATAAATGTATGCAGATTTTACGCTTGCAGGCATTTGATTAGTTCCGAGGCAGATTTTGGCACAAGTTGACACCAGTGTTAGGATTACTGAAACCAGATATCATTAAACAGTTGTTTTTTGTTTGATATTGCTTATACTTGTTCACCCTCAACTTAAGCTTCTGGGTGAAATAGTGTTATCACCATTCACTTTCATCACTGAGTATTTGTCTCAGCACCAGGCTCTGTTGATTCCTCCCATCTGCTTTTCATGAGCATACATCAGTAACACTGGATGGTATTTTAGCACTACATCATTTCACAGATGAATTCAACCTGGTAACCTGATCATATCTTCACCCTTCGACAGATTCTAGAACATAGGCATTCCTACCGGCGTCCGACAATCATTATATTTCTTGACCTAAAGACGGAATTCGATTCTGTCGACCGAGAGATTCTCTGGCGATGCTTGACTGTAAAGGGAATGCCGAGAAAATACATTGCACTGATTAAGGCACTCTACTCGTACTCATGCAGCCAGGTGAGGGCTTATGGCGAGTTGTCATCTGAAGTGGTGACGACTAGTGGCGTCCGTCAAGGATGCCCATTATCCCCATTCCTATTCAATTTCATCATAGACGTACTAATGGACTTAACCCTAACTCACTTCAGAGACTCAGGGATTGACTTGCTACCAGGGAATAATCTCGTTGACTTAGAATATGCAGACGATATAGTCCTTCTAGGCGAAGACGCTGACAAAATGCAGAGTCTTCTGAACACCTTAAGCAGCAATCTTCGTATGTTTGGCATGCGATTCGCCCCTGTAAAATGTAAGATGATGCTTCAGGATTGGACTACACCGACCCCTAGATTAGAAATAGGAAGTGATGTGGTAGAGCACGTTGACCGCTTCACTTACTTAGGAAGTACCATCAGCCCCAATGGGTTGATCGCTGACGAAATCTCAGTACGAATACAGAGGGCTAGTTTCGCATATGCCAGTTTACGCCGTCTCTGGCGTAGGCATGATATCCGCCTATCGACCAAAGGGCGTGTGTACTGCTCATCAGTCCGCTCCTTTATGGCTGTAAGACGTGGCCATTGAGAGCGGAAGACATGAAAAGATTAGCTGTCTTCGATCATAGGTGTCTGCGTTCTATCTCCCTCGTGAGGTGGTATGATAAGGTGAGCAATATTGAGGCTAGGCGTCGAGTGCTAGGTAAGGAGGGGAAATCAATAGACAAGACTGTGAAATTACATCAACTGAGATGGTTAGGACATGTGTTACGTATGCCTAGTCATCGCCTTCCTCGACAATGGGCAATGTTAGTCAGCTGACATAGGGTCAGGCTGGAAAAGAGCTAGCGGCGGTCAAACCGAAACATGGCACCAGTCAATGAAATCGGAAACAGTTAGTCTAAGCCACGTAGGAAGATGTAGACTTCCTGGTTGGGGTCCTCGGAACGGTGAAAACCAATGGTTGGAAACAGTTGGTGACATGGCTCAAAATCGTTCTCAGTGGCGCAGATGCATCCACTCCTTGTGACTTATGATTTCCAATGAAACTGTTTTGTTCTTCTTTATTACTATTCCTTTGTCTCACACCTCTGTTTACTGTGTCTGTTATGCATTTCTTCTACTTTCTTCTCTTGCTTTGTGTGCTACATGGAGGGAGTGTGGCGACTTGAACTGCCGCACATCTGTGCAAAGTTCTATGTCGAAAACCGAAAACCGACCGACCGACCTGGTAACCTAGTTTTGATCTGTCATAGCGTGGGCATACAGAAGTATATTACGCTGGAACCATTGATGTTGTGGATACTGAAATCAATGTATGGTAAATGGGATAGATACACAAGTTAGAAACAACTGTAACTTGTTTCAAGCGGTAGGGATTTCAGTAATTGAAATAAGAACAAATTAGTTCAGCGAAGAGTCTCTTTTCGGCGAATTCATTCACTTAGCTGTGGGTTGTTGATTACATCATCAAAATAATGAAGAAATTAAAATGTGTGATTAATAATCAAAGTTGTAACTAAGTGGGGTGAAGATTTTGATGATGTAACCCTACTCACATCTTACCAATCTTCACCCCACTTAGTTACAACTTTGATTATTAATCACACATTTTAATTTCTTTATTATCTTGATGATATAATCAACAACCCACACCAACTGTTATTTTGATTTTGATTTTGACAAACCTAATGTACACACACACACACAAAATAATTGTATATATTTTTGCGACTGTACAGCTAAGTGAATGAATTCGCCGAAAAGAGACTCTTCGCTGAACTAATTTGTTCTTATTTCAATGTATTAATGGGTATATTTCGCGAATTTCAGTAATTGCTTTTTTTTAAAACGTTTAAACTTCGGACACTTTCTAAAGAACTGGTACTGGTTGAAAGGTTTAGGGTGGCTAGTCTTTATCATTAAGTTATTCCGTAAATTGCATCTCCTTATTATTATATGTGGAGCTCTGACTCATCGACTTTAGTGCTAAACTTCCGACCACTCGGTCACGGGTTCAAAATCCGCCGCGTCCTTTGAGGTTTTGGAAGTCGGGTGGTATCACCAGTCCTCTACACAACAGGTGTGGCCCACCGCCAACTGAATGGAGTCTCATTTTATTTCACTTTCTAATTTCTTATCTTAAATTTGGCACAATTCCAAGAATACAAAGAACTCACTGTACTGTATAAAATTTTGTCTTCGATTACACAGACCTATAGATGTCTAAGATTTCGAGCTGATTTCATATGCTTTCGGTTGTAACGTAGTCACTTAGATATTTTAGTAGCATTTTACTGATTAGGGATGGGAGGCGGAGTGCACAACAGGATATTCTCAATCCATCGTCAAAATGATGTAACGTATGTAGATCAAGAAAGAAAGACCAGACTTGCAGTACAAAATGATATCATCATCCTGCTTCACATGCTCTCATCAGCTGCTGCAAGCTACCTGAAATTACAATGGTTATTAATAACGACATTTCATACTTCAATGTTTGAAAGGTAATAGGGAAAACATCATAAGATGAGTGCATCTTTATTACCTTTCAAACATTGAAGTATGAAATGTCATTATTTATAACCATTGTAATTTCAGGTAGTTTGCAGCAGCTGACGAGAACCTGTGAAATAGAATGATGATATCATTTTATACTGCAAATCCGCTCTTTCTTCCTCTACCGAAATTTATCAAGGGAACCAAATGTATGAAATATCTAGATCAGTTACTGGTGTGTTGCTACATGATGAATAGTGTACAGGATTACTTAACTACCTACCACGAAACAACTATCACATCTGCTGATAGCTTGATTTTCTTATCTCCAGTTACATTTTAGTTGAACCAGACAAGCATGCTCCTGGTCGAGAGCAGTGGGATGAATGTGAATTCACAGCTGGAAAGCCCATACCTGGCTTATTTTACCGTGTGTTTATATGCTCACAAGTGGTCTTGTCTCTGAGTGATCGTGGTAAGTTTACCTTTGTTATATATATATATATATATATATATATTCATAGGTGTTATGTATGTTTCCCATGAGATCTTTGTATGTCTTCAATGTTTGTCAGAAAAATATGAATGTATGCGAATATATATGTATATATATGTGACTATTGTTAATTTTTTAGAATTTATATGGGTGTCTCGAACTTGTGTTTCGAGCATTGTAATAGCACTTATTTTATTTGTAAAGCATAAACTTTGGTTTTAGAAACAACTCAGTCTTTCAGTAGTTTCAGTCGTTTTAGTAGTCATCATAGTGGCGAGTGCTACTGAAAAAATTTATCAGTAATGTATACTATAGTAATATAGCTGGGGAGATACATGGGAGACGTGAAAGGAAAACAAAGAAACACAATATGAAGGCTAGAAGTACCACAACACAGGAGATCTGTGCAAATAGTGCGTTGAAGATAAGGTGTACATAATTTGGCTATAATAGAGATACCAATTTCTAAGTGAACATTCCTTACCTAGTTTTTCGTCTGCTACCGTTACAATTACACCCTCAAATTTGTATATTTTAATAATAATAATAGTAATAATAATCTACTTTATTCCAAGACGAACAGTACTTATAATACAGAATGGAATTCTCAGCATTTGTCACAATATTGCATCTGATTTACTCAAAATATAAATAAAATTAAAAATTAAAACAAAATTAACCAGAGGAATTTGTCCACATTTACGATATAAAGTCAAAAATATTCGAAGTACGAAATGATAATATTAAATATAATAATAATTACAGTGGGTTTGTTTCAAACTGTACTGTCAATTCAGTTTGGAAATTTTAGCATGTTATAGATTATTGAATCTAATGTTCTGTTGACGCAGCAGCATGGTGAGGGGAAATACAAAATTAACAGTTATGACACAGCTTAAATGATGTTCACACTTATGAAACGAAATAAACAAATAAAAACAAAATAATTGAGAGGATTATAAATATAAGAAGTACAATGACAGTAAAGCTTGATGTAATAAGGGTGCAGGAAATAGTTTATTTAGTGGTGCAAAGAAGGTTAGTTCATGCCTGACACTATTTTCATCATATTAAAGTACGTGCCAAATATGGTATAGTGGAATTTGTATACTTAGACGTATGTGCATAAAGTCTTTTGAAAAGACTTCTTGTTTTACCTGAGGAGACAGAAGGTTGGAGCTGCGGGTAAAGTGGATGCTGACAGTCTGAGAAAATTCCTTTAGGAAATTTGTTGGATGAGATTAAGTGCCTATCAGTGACAATGTCAACGATATGGCCCAATGGGATATCACCACTCGCCCTATTGACTGACAGTCTTCAGAGTTCTACGAAGTATGACGTAGTCTTTTTTAAGCAATCCAGGAGAGAATAAACAGGGGTGAGTAGTAAAGAAGAACCTGAACAACATAAGTTTTCTAGAAAATAATTGAATTTGTCTGTTTATGATTCATTGAACAGGTATAACCAATTACCATGTACTACTTAAACATCTGTATAAGAAGAACATATGCATTTTCCCTCTGATTTTCAGTCCTTCATGATTACTCTGCAGTATATATGTGAAATTTGTTCATTTTAAACTATTGTTGTTTTCTTTTCTTTTCTTATTTTTTCATTCTCCTTCATAGCGAATCACTTGAAAGTACACGAATCTCAGTTATCAGTTACTGGTGATAAAGGCTACTGTATGTGTCGAGCCACTCACAGCGTTCACTCGGGTACCTGGTATTTTGAAGCAATCATCACAGAACAACCAGAAGGTTCTGCAACTCGAATCGGCTGGTCTCAAATGTATGGTGAGTATTGAAATTTCTGTCGTCCCTATGTATACAAGTTATTACTGCCGGGTAAAATAAGGTAGATGTCATGAATGCTTATCTGTCAGACGTTTCGGTCGAATAATTAGGCAGTGTGTATGTCCCTCTTACAAACATTGGTGAACACTGTGGAAGTGAGCCGGTATAAGAATCTGTAGTTTTTAATGCCATCAAAATTTTTTGTGAGTTTATTTGGCTCATGTATCGATATATATATATATATATATGCGTGCAAATAATATAAATGATTTATGTTATGGAAAGCATGTTGTATTAATGCCTACCTGCTCGTAGTGTCCTGCGATGAGTAGCATAGATTATGCCCCATCGAATTATTTACTCACCAGGAGTAGATGAATAATTGTCCAGCACTGTGAATTTACTAGCCCAATTTTATTCTGTTGTGTGCTGAGATTTCTTTGCTACTACAGCTTCATTCTACTGGTGTTTGTCTTCGACCACCTGTTTAGTCTTTTAAGGATGTGAGTAAAGGAGAATGATGCTAAGGAAGGCTTCGTGTGCTTTTGGAAGTGTGTGGGCGGTTGTTACTTCCCGACTGCCCACACTGTGGAAGTTGACTGATTCTTCGGGTACCTGAAACAGAAGCAGGGTTAGTGTTGCGTGATGGCAGAGCCCAGGGGACAACTGCTTTAGGCCGGTCACACACGGCCTGTATCAACTGGTTTCTTGGTTTGGTTCCGTATTAGTAAACTTACCACCGGTTACGGACCACCGTAGGGTAAGTCGGGATGCACAGTTGTTGGGGTCGACCTTTTCTAACCCGTTCTCTCCACAGTAGATAGACAGCATAGCTGGCTGGCATACTGGACATCTAAGGGAAACACCTCACTGCTGTTAAATCCCTGTTCCCCAGCAGTACGACTTCGCCTTCAGACCCCCAGCATAGTGTAGGAAAGATTCCTACACAATGCCGGCAACTGGTTTTTGTCTAATCGCTGTCCTAACAACCTTCCTAGCATGGTAGGACCTGCAGGAACATTGGTTCCAGCCAGTGCAGCTTGTTGTGTCATCGCGATGTGCAAGCCCGACCATCACTTAAAGGTAGCAGCTATCGGCCGGCCATTGAGAATGCAAGACATGAAAAGATTAGTTGTCTTTGATCATAGGTGTCTGCGTTCTATCTCCCTCGTGAGGTGGTATGATAAGGTGAGCAATATTGAGGCTAGGCGTCGAGTGCTAGGTAAGGAGGGGAAATCAATAGACAAGACTGTAAAATTACATCAACTGAGATGGTTAGGACATGTGTTACGTATGCCTAGTCATCGCCTTCCTCGACAATGGGCAATGTTAGTCAGCTGACATAGGGTCAGGCTGGAAAAGAGCTAGCGGCGGTCAAACCGAAACATGGCACCAGTCAATGAAATCGGAAACAGTTAGTCTAAGCCACGTAGGAAGATGTAGACTTCCTGGTTGGGGTCCTCGGAACGGTGAAAACCAATGGTTGGAAACAGTTGGTGACATGGCTCAAAATCGTTCTCAGTGGCGCAGATGCATCCACTCCTTGTGACTTATGATTTCCAATGAAACTGTTTTGTTCTTCTTTATTACTATTCCTTTGTCTCACACCTCTGTTTACTGTGTCTGTTATGCATTTCTTCTACTTTCTTCTCTTGCTTTGTGTGCTACATGGAGGGAGTGTGGCGACTTGAACTGCCGCACATCTGTGCAAGGTTCTATGTCGAATACAGACAGGTAGACAGAGTTTTACGACTTGTATCTAAGTTTTAACTACTTGACTGTCAGACAATGAAAACTTTTTAATGCTTGTCTCTTTTGAGGAAACACTTGTATTTGTTTTTGTGATCTGCAGTTACTTCCAGTTACAGATGTTCACTACTGCCTTCTCTCTCTCTCTCTTGATTCAGGTAACTTACAAGCACCTTGTGGTTTTGACAAATTTAGCTATTCCTGGCGTTCACGTCTTGGCACTGTATTTCATGAATCTCACGGTAAACACTATACGAATGGTGGATATAAAAAGGATGATGTCATTGGATGTTTAATTCATTTGCCGCCAACAGTTGGCCCTTTCACATCGATAGAAAACCAAGCGTCAAAACCTCCTACACCTCAATTGAATCCATTTTCTCCCATTATGGATGACCTTCGTGCTAGCATAACTGGTACGCTTAACTCAAAGAATTCAATGATGAATTGTAGTAATAATAATTCACCTGCACCTACTTTTCTTCCTGAAACTTACAAAGACCGTGTAAGTGGCTTGATACATTCACCAAATTATGTCTTTTTTTTTAAAATCAAATTTCGTTGGTGTATGTGATGAATTCACTTTGATCTGAAATCGTATGGCTGAATGGAATCCGATTTATTTGTCCAGCTACACAGGCACAGGCAGCACGGACGACGATTTCAAAGGTAAGATTGAGATTAGTGGTAGCTCTGTACTGCACTTGACATGACGGAGTTTTGCATTTTCAACACCAATGTCAAGTCAGTGCTGCCATATATGCTTCAGAGATTTGCTGCATTACGAAAAAGACTCCCAACAAGCTGCTTTCGCTTGATGCTGTGAACATCTGATGGTTAGAAAGGATAAACGTTAAGGAACTCTGACAATGAACTGACCAAGAACTCCATCGCCTAGCAAATGTGCCGAAGGAAATGCAGATGAACTGGACATACTCTGAGGAAATCGTTGAGTGACATCACACCCTAACGTAGAGCCTGAATAAGTAATGGCAGGTGGGACGTCCTAAGGTGACATGTAGAAGATCGTCTGGCTAGAAAGAAAAGAAGCTTCTAGGTAATCCTGTCGATTCAGTTTGGAAATTTTAGCATGTTATAGATTATTGAATCTAGTGTTCTGTTGATATAACAGCATGGTGAGGGGAAATACAAAATTAACAGTTATGACACAGCTTAAATGATGTTCACACTTGTGAAAAAATGAACAAATAAAAATAAAAAGTTGAGAGGATTATAAATATAACAAATGCATTAACAATAACAAAAAAGCTTGATGTAATAAGGGTGCAGTAAACTGTTTATTTACTAGTGCAAAGAAAGTTAGTTAGTTCATGCCCAACACTATTTTCATCACTTAAAGTACGTGCCGAATATGCTACAGTGGAATTTTTATACTTAGACGTACGTGCATAAAGTCTTCTGAAAGGACTTCTTGTTTTACCTGAGTAGACACAAGATTGGCGCTGTGGGTAAAGTGGATGCTTACAGTCTGAAAAAATTCCTTTATCAAATTTGTTGCATGACATCAAGTGCCTATCAATGACAATGTCAACGAAATAGTCCAATGGGATACCACCCGCCCTGTTGACAGTCTTCAGAGTTGTACGAAGTATGACGTAGTCTTTTTTAAGCAATCCAGCAAAGAATAAGAGTGAACAGTAAAGAAGAATAGGTAAGATGTACGAGTTGACAAACTGTAAGAGGAGTGGTTGAGTTATGCCTGAGTGCCTTAACTTCTTAATGTAAAAGGTCATACGAAATGTTCTTTTAGAAATAGCTAAGGCATGGGAAGACCAGAATAGGTCAGAAGAAAGAATTAATCCAAGATACTTTACTTCAGACTTGGTTTTTATATCACTATCATCAATCTTGCAACGATCATAAGAACCAACAGCTTTATTTAACTTTCTTTTACTTCGGAAACTGAAATTAACAGTCTGACATTTGGAGGGATTTAGCTTAAGACCATTAGACGAAGACCATTTGCTGACTCCTCATAGAAAGCTGTTTCACTCGGAATCCAAAGAAATAATAATAATTATTATTGTATCCTTTAATTCCTAGAGGAGCATAGGGCTTCAGCCGTGCGTCTCCATTGCGTTCGGTTCTCTGCTAGAGTCTTCACCTGGCTCCATGTCTGCCCACACGTTTTCATCTCCTCTTCACATGACCTCCTCCAAGTCACCCTCACACTGACGACCAACTCGCTGCTTCCCTTTCGGGTTCCACTCGAGCAATGGTTTGTCTAGTGATGTCACTTGATGGTTTCCTAAGAGTATGGCCAATCCATCTCCATTTCTTCCTGCCTATTTGTTTCACAATCGGTTCCTTCTGGGTTGGTTCGCTCCCAGACATCCTACGCTGTTGCTGATATTTTCTGGCCATCTGATCTTGAGTATTGAGCGAAGACAACTGTTAATGAAGGTCTGTAGTTTGTTTGAGATGCTCTTTATGACGCGCAGTGCAAGTCTCTGATCCGTATGTTGAGTAGCACTGACTTCACATTGGAGTTGAAAATTCGGATCTTATTTTTGATGCTGAGTGCTGTTGACCTCCACACAGACTTGAGAGTAGTGAAAGCTTGTCTTGCTTTTCCGATTATTCCTTTGATATTCTCGTCAGTTCCGTCCGCCTGTAGTTGAAACGATGCTTCACAGGTAGGTAAAGGAGGTGGTTTCTTTCAGGTTCCTTCCATTTATGCTGATTGTTGTCTGTTGTTGTTGTTGCTGTTGGAGGTGTTTCCCAGGAATCTTCATCACCTCTGTTTTCTCTGTGTCCACCTGAAGTCCTATCTTTGATGCTTCTTCTGCCAACTTGTTGCTTTTCGCTTGCATATCTTCCAGTTTGTGGGAAATAAGACATATATCATCGGCGAAGTCCAGATCCTCCAAGTTCTCTTTTTGTGTGAGTCCATTTTATCCCTGTTTCCTCGCTGCCTGGCCCGCTGTTTTTCGCATTATCCAGTCTACTGCAATCAGGAAAATCATTGGACATAGTAGGCAGCCTTGTCTTACTCCTGTCCTCACTTCGAAGGATTCCGTAAGTTTCCCGTTGTGGATTACTTGGCATGCAGCATTGTCGTACAGCTGTTGGATGAGATGTATAATTGTCGGTGGCACCCCATAGTAGCGAAGTAGTTTCCAAAGCACCTCTCGATCGACGCTGTCAAAGGCCTTTTCAAAGTCGATGAAGTTGAGATAGAGAAGTGATTGCCATTCCAAGCTTTGTTCAATGATGATCCATAATGTGGCGATCTGATCAATGCATGACTTGTTTCTCCTGAATCCAGCCTGTTCCAATCGAAGTTTTTCATCTAGGGCATGTTTGATTCTCTCCAGGATGATGCGGCTTAGTATTTTTATTGGGATGGACAGGACCATAATTCCGCGCCAGTTCTTGCATTGACTTAAGTGTCCTTTCTTTGGTAGTTTGAATAAGTATCCTTTCTTCCAATCCTTGGGTACTTTGCCTTCTATCCACACTTCCTCCAGTAGTGGCGTCATCAAGTCCGCTGTTGTCTCTGGGTCCATTTTCAACAATTCTGCTGGCATTCCATCTGGTCCTGCTGCTTTTCCAGCTTTTAGCATCTTGATTGCCTTCAGGACTTCTGATTTCGTCGAGGGGTTGGTGTTCACTGGTAGCTCTGTCTCAGTCGTTGGTATTGTTGGGCGCGTTGTAGGTGGTGGTCGATTTAGGAGTCTTTTGAAGTGTTCAGCCCAGTGTTTCCTTTGCTCCACTTGTTTGGTGAGTGACGTTGCATTGTCATCCTTCACCGGCTTGATTTGTGTCAAACGTTTGCCCGATAGGTACCTAGTAGTTTGGTAGAGTGTTGCGAGGTCTCCTTTGCCTGCAGCTTGTTCTGCCTCACTTGCCATGGTTTCATGGTACTTTCTTTTGTCTTCTCTGGCACTCTTCTTTACTCTTTTGTTCAGTGTCTTGTAGCTTGCATTCAAATCTTGTTTTGTTGCTCATCGGTGCACTGGAGAATCTTTTGTTTCACCATCCCTCTCTCTTCTATTAGTTTCCAAGTGTCCGTAGTGAGCCATTGTTTGTCCTGTCTCCTCTCTCTGCCCAGAACTTCCATGCAGGTTTGACTCCACACTGTCATCAAGTTGTTCCCATGCTTTTCGACGCTGACCTCTTCGCCAGTGTTGATTTGTGTTTCGGCTTTATCTTTTATACTTGCAGTGAAGATGTCCTTTGTGTCTTGGTCCTTCAGTTTTTGAGTGTTGAACTTGGCTTGTGGTCTATCTGCAGCTCCTGATTCTCTGAAAGCTTTTAATTTGATTTGGATTGTCCCTTGTACGAGATAGTGGTCTGAGCCAATGTCTGCTCCTCTTCTTGCTTTCGTGTCCAGCAGGCTGCGCCTCCACTTCCTTGAGCAGCATTGAGATGAAGTCGATTTGGTTTTTGGTTCGCCCATCTGGTGACACCCATGTAGCCTTGTGGATATCCTTGTGTTTGTATACGCTGCCACCAATCACTAGTTCATTGAAGGCGCAGAAGTCGACGAAGAGTTCTCCGTTTTCATTTATTTCTCCGAGAGCTTCTCTACCCATGATGAGTTCCCTTCCTGTGTTATCTGATCCCAGTTTGGCGTTCATGTCTCCCATTAGTATTTTAATGTCACCAGCTGGAGTATTGTCCATTGTTGCCTGTAGTTTTCTGTAGAATCCTTCTTTCTTTTCGAGGTCTGCGTTGTTTGTGGATGCATAGCATTGTATAATTGACACTTTCCTTCTTTTGGAGTTGAATCTGGCGGTTATTATCCTGGGCGAGATCGCTTCCCATTGCATGAGGGCCTTCGTTGCCATTGGTGACATCATGATAACCACGCCCTCGGTGTGCGAGTGGTTATCTTCTGGGTGACCGAAGTAGATCACTGATTCACCGGTTGATAATTTGGTGAGTCCATTCCCGTTCCATCTGCTTTCACATATCCCCAGTACTTGAATTCTGTATCTTTTCATTTCGTTTGCGATCTGGGCAGCTTTGCGAATCTGGTACATGGTACGGACATTCCATGTCCCCACACAGACTTTTTTTTGTCTCAAGGAGATACTTCGTGCTGAAGTTTCTGTAGCAGGTTTGTTTACAGGGTGGGGTTGCTGGCCTCACGCTTGAGAAGGGGGGTTGTTGCATTAATTTATAATTTAGAGAGAAGCGACCTTGTGGATTGCTCCCCTTAAAAACCAGGAAAACAGGGAATAAACAAGCAGAAAAACACCAGCACGGGAAAATAATTCACAACAAGAAGGGTAGCAAGCGACAAAAACAATTTTACCCACATATTCATATGTTTGTAAATTTGATATCTTTGTTTTTATTAGATGTTTTTGAGAGGAAATAGGGGTGGGGTTTGGGAAATCGCTGATTTCCTCCCGTTGCTTTCCTACATTTACATAGATTGCCGGTAGAGGCATTATTTCTTTGCTTAGTTATTTCATTTGCCCTTCTGTCCTTTGGTTTTAGCCTTTGATCAGGTTTCGGAGTTCCTTCTACTTTGAAGAAAAAGATGATCCAAGTAAAGCTGAGAAATCATTGCATCCACTGCCGGATAGTAAGGTGAGCGATATGCTTTAATACTACTTTATTTTTGTTAGTAGCATAATTAGCAAGCTGTCAAATTTATCTGTAAGAACTATGATTTCTAAGTTTGCCTAACCAATAACCACTACCTTCGAATTTCAGTATTTTTCGCATACATTTTCTATGATCTGTTTTTTAAATCCATTGGAATTCGTCTTTCATCTCTTGAATTTTTCAAAGAGTTGGAAATATCTGGAACTTTTAAGTTCAAGATATTTAAATCACTACTATAGTTGAAAAGAGAATAAATTAGCATAGATGTCACTGATACCGGGTTAAGAGCCGGGATCACAGTCAACGGCTCATGAGTTCATGTCCCTTTCCGCCTGAACACTTCAAAAGACTCCTAAATCGACCACCACCTACAACGCGCCCAACAATACCAACGACTGAGACAGAGCTACCAGTGAACACCAACCCCTCGACGAAATCAGAAGTCCTGAAGGCAATCAAGATGCTAAAAGCTGGAAAAGCAGCAGGACCAGATGGAATGCCAGCAGAATTGTTGAAAATGGACCCAGAGACAACAGCGGACTTGATGACGCCACTACTGGAGGAAGTGTGGATAGAAGGCAAAGTACCCAAGGATTGGAAGAAAGGATACTTATTCAAACTACCAAAGAAAGGACACTTAAGTCAATGCAAGAACTGGCGCGGAATTATGGTCCTGTCCATCCCAATAAAAATACTAAGCCGCATCATCCTGGAGAGAATCAAACATGCCCTAGATGAAAAACTTCGATTGGAACAGGCTGGATTCAGGAGAAACAAGTCATGCATTGATCAGATCGCCACATTATGGATCATCATTGAACAAAGCTTGGAATGGCAATCACTTCTCTATCTCAACTTCATCGACTTTGAAAAGGCCTTTGACAGCGTCGATCGAGAGGTGCTTTGGAAACTACTTCGCTACTATGGGGTGCCACCGACAATTATACATCTCATCCAACAGCTGTACGACAATGCTTCATGCCAAGTAATCCACAACGAGAAACTTACGGAACCCTTCGAAGTGAGGACAGGAGTAAGACAAGGCTGCCTACTATGACCAATGATTTTCCTCATTGCAGTAGACTGAATAATGCGAAAAACAGCGGGCCAGGCAGCGAGGAAACAGGGATAAAATGGACTCACACAAAAAGAGAACTTGGAGGATCTGGACTTCGCCGATGATATATGTCTTATTTCCCACAAACTGGAAGATATGCAAGCGAAAAGCAACAAGTTGGCAGAAGAAGCATCAAAGATAGGACTTCAGGTGGACACAGAGAAAACAGAGGTGATGAAGATTCCTGGGAAACACCTCCAACAGCAACAACAACAACAGACAACAATCAGCATAAATGGAAGGAACCTGAAAGAAACCACCTCCTTTACCTACCTGTGAAGCATCGTTTCAACTACAGGCGGACGGAACTGACGAGAATATCAAAGGAATAATCGGAAAAGCAAGACAAGCTTTCACTACTCTCAAGTCTGTGTGGAGGTCAACAGCACTCAGCATCAAAAATAAGATCCGAATTTTCAACTCCAATGTGAAGTCAGTGCTACTCAACATACGGATCAGAGACTTGCACTGCGCGTCATAAAGAGCATCTCAAACAAACTACATACCTTCATTAACAGTTGTCTTCGCTCAATACTCAAGATCAGATGGCCAGAAAATATCAGCAACAGCGTAGGATGTCTGGGAGCGAACCAACCCAGAAGGAACCGATTGTGAAACAAATAGGCAGGAAGAAATGGAGATGGATTGGCCATACTCTTAGGAAACCATCAAGTGACATCACTAGACAAACCATTGCTCGAGTGGAACCCGAAAGGGAAGCAGCGAGTTGGTCGTCAGTGTGAGGGTGACTTGGAGGAGGTCATGTGAAGAGGAGATGAAAACGTGTGGGCAGACATGGAGCCAGGTGAAGACTCTAGCAGAGAACCGAACGCAATGGAGACGCACGGCTGAAGCCCTATGCTCCTCTAGGAATTAAAGGAAACAATAATAAGTAATAATAATCCGCCGGTTTCAGCCGAGGCAACTAGGTAATCAACCGTCACACATTAAGTATGGCTCTTAACCAGACTAATTGAGTCCAAACAAGAAGACAAAAGTGATTTGTTCAATGTATTTAATTTTTTTTACGGTAACATTTAAGCTACCGAAATTAGAAAATCTAAGCGGTACCGTTGACTTCCAAAGTGGATTTATTTTATAGCGTACATACACCCTGCATAGTCATTTATGAAGTGATTAACTTTTTGATATGGTTGTTCTCTCTGCGCTGGATAGTTAATTTGTGAAGCTCTCATTGACCCCTACTAGGCAACAACTTCAGTGCATATTTCAATTTGAAGTGACGATTCACTGAAATACCAGACTTCTAAAAATTCTCTCTCATTCTTGGTGTTTTCTCTGTCTTGTAGTTGAACGCTGGTTTTCCCAGTCGAATTGATATCCGTGGTTGTCTGTACTCAGTGAGGCGATATGAGGGAGTGGATGTCATGTCTTTTGACGGCCAGCTTATGATCATGGATTCAAAGACGAAGGGGACAACCACTTTAGTCAATCTAGTACTTTTCACAGTCGTTGCAACTTATTTTGTAGATGATGTTATTGAGTCTTTTGGTTGACATATAACTGAGTGGAGTGATTTTGTTGGTTTGTGTGCGGCGTCAATTCTTAAAGGTTTGAAGAATCTTGCAGTGATTTCTGAGATGTGCTTTATATATGGTAGGGCGATTTTCTTCCTGCTTTCCTTGGGGTCTTTGATTTAGTAGGTTGACTTGAGGGTTTATGTCTTTTGATGAGATTCCGTGGATATCCATTCTTTTGGAAGACGTCCATGAGATATCTTTCTTCAATTTTCCTTAAGGTGGGAGTGCTGCAATGAGTCCTGGCCCTCATTACCTTGGCCATCCAGGTTTGAATAATCCGGAATTTTTGTAGAAATTTCCCTAATTTTAGTTGACACTCTATTTGTTATTATAACTTTATTATTATTAGTATTATTATTATTATTATGATTTAAGCATCTTTAATGAACTGTAATTCCCATTGTGATCTTACTTGACAAATCGATATTATTATTTAAGAAGCACCCTAATATTGTTATTGACTACTTATCTCGAATATTCTATGTATATAAACATGCATATATAATTGTAGAGCCTGGAAGAGGAGGAAATTATCGAAAAGAATATTCTTTGCTCAATTATTTTGTGTTTTATAGATGTCTGAATGAATATTTTTGCTACATTGAAATCTTTTAAGCATCATTTTGCGTTAAAAGTACTCAACGAGTATTTGAAGTATAGCGCAAGGCTCAGCGAAGCAAAGACTACTGTTGACTTTATCCACCAGTGTATTGAAACAAACCGGTACCCGAAATCTTATTGGAAATCTCTACGCCGTTGCAGAGTTCGGCCTAATGATAAAACACTCAAACGCCATGCACGTAACCAAATTGACTTAATTCAATCGCGTATTACTGAGTTATCGAAGAATGTGACAGAAAGGTTCTATGCTGTCGACGAATTATCAGAAAACTTAAAGAAACTATTTTCAGATTATGTGGATGTAATTGCGAGTAAGAGGAAAGAAAAGAAAGGATTGAATCTGGTACAGAGCTTAGAGAACAAGGCACCTGAAACAAGATTTCCTCCGAACCCAAATCGTTTTGTGTTTAATTTTTCAGATGTAATACTTAGTGAGGTGGATCTACAGATTTTATCGCTTGGCCCTAAATTTTGTGATAGCCATGTAAAAATTAACAAAATGGATGCACAAATTCAGTTTGAAAGTCTCTACACTCAAACGGAAGGCCTAACACCCTCATCAGCTGAAGAAGTTGAACCACTTAAATCAACACTGGTCGACTGCTGCTATTATTACATGAACAGTAAACGCAATTCGGATGGTATCTTAACCAAAAAACATAGAGAAGCCCTGGATGTTCTCCGCAAAAATGATAACATAATAATAACAAGACCGGATAAGGGCTGAGGAGTGGTTATCATGAATAAAGCCGATTACTTTGAGAAGATGAATACTATTCTTAATGATAATCTAAAATTCCGAAAAATCTCCTCTTCTCTGGATCCGATTGAAAAGATATAGAAACAGTTAGCGGAAACATTGAAAAGACTATATGGCTCGCCTAAAGTGCACAAAAATGGTGTACCGCTGCGACCAGTATTACATATACTAAATTCACCATACCATCCTGTAGCCAAATGGTTAGTCGAACTCTTACAGCCCCTTCATACTGAGTTGGTGAAACATAGTGTAAAGGATACTTTTGGATTCGTTGAAAGAATAAGAGATTTAAATGTTGATAACAAATTCATGGTATCATTTGACGTATCTTCCTTATTCACCAATGTACCTCTCATGGAAACAGTGGACTTTATATGTGAAGAACTCAAAAGACGAAACATCGATGTTGGCATTCCTATATCTTTTATGAAAGAGCTTCACTTAAAATGCACAATGAATGTCCACTTTTTATTTAATAAGGAACTGTATAGACAAATCGACGGTGTGGCAATGGGGTCACCACTAGGACCCATTCTAGCCGACATTTTCCTTGCGAAACTAGAAAATGGGTCTTTGAAGGATATTATTGATGAACTTGAATTTTATTGTCGGTACATGGATGATACTTTTTTGATTATGAAGAACGAAAAGGAAGCAAAGAACATCCTGGATAAATTTAATGAGGTACATCCTGCAATAAATTTTACTATTGAGAAAGAAAAAGACTCTAGTATTTCATTTTTAGACGTCCTTATGACCAGAAAAGAGGACGGCACAATAAGAAGAAGTGTTTATAGAAAACCTACATCAACGGGCCAGTACACACATTTTCTCAGCTTTGTGCCCTTGAAATACAAATGCAATCTGATAAAGTGCTTGGTCCACAGAGCAAGAGAGATTTGCTCGGACGAATGTCTTGATGAGGAACTTAACAATATTAAAC